TATTTTCTTCTAGGTCCTATATGGGAGTGGTTCTTCTCTCACCTTCCACATGAACCCATATGTCCGCTCTTCACTGTTTTCATTTACCTCTTTTTCTTTCTTTCTTTCTTTTTTTTTTTGTTTGAGATTGAGTCTCACTCTGTTGCCCAGGCTGGAGTGCAATGGCATGATCTAGGTTCACTGCAACCTCCGCCTACCGGGTTCAAGCAATTCTCCTGCCTTAGCCTCCCGGGTAGCTGGGATTATAGGCACCCACCACCATGCCTGGCTAATTTTTGTATTTTTCTAGAGACAGGGTTTCACCATATTAGCCGGGCTGGTCTTGAACTCCTGACCTCAGGTGATCTGCCGACCTCGGCCTCCCAAAGTGCTGGAATTGCAGGCATGAGCCACTGCGCCTGTCCTCATCTAACCTCTTAATTGATAGGCACATTAATATCCAGTGAAGATGTTAAAGGCCCACTATCTAATCATCATTGTGCTACATAAACAGAGTTGGGCTTATAAACGTTAGGTGGGAGCATCTTTCAGTTAATCAGATTTGTACAATTGGAATGGTGAACATTGACACAGTTACCTTGAAGAAACTAGGCATACTGAATTGACATCAACTATGAAGAAATTTGCCATTAAAAATCTATATAAGTACTATATGAAAAACTTTATAAACTAGAATATCCTATAGAAATAAGGTATTGTTGTAGTTAGTTCTATTACTTCAACCTAGTGATTTTTAAATCAATTGGGCATCCTAAAGCAATGATTATTTTTTAATTGCTGGAGGAAGGGAAGGCATCACTACATCATTGCAAGTGAGATTTTATAGAATTACAAACCGATCTGCTCACTTAGACATTCTGTCTGCCTAAATTGTCATGAGCTAATTCTCTTCACTCATATTATGTCTGGAGCAGAGCATTGCACCTAACTGTGCAAATCAGAGGGATTTATCTTACATCCTTATTAATATTTCCCTCTTAATATTACCAGGGACCAATTCTTATTGAATAAACAAACTTGGAAAATGTTCTTCATGTGATTAATACATATATGCATAAAACTCCACATATAAATCTATATAGGAAAATTAGCTTACATATGTTTAAAAGAAATCAAATTAGAGCTCTCAAGATACCAGCATGTTTTAGTCAAGACAATAATTTTTTTACAAAAGGACATGTTTTAATTTTTGGATTGCATCAATAAAAAATATTCAATACAAAATTTTAGTTTATTAAATTAAAAATTCTAAGTGGTTATTAAAACTGATAACCTAGGCTGCGCGTGGTGGCTCACACCTGTAATCCCAGCACTTTGGGAGGCCGAGGCAAGTAGATCACGAGGTCAGGAGTTCGAGACCAGTCTGGCCAACATAATGAAACCTCGTCTCTACTAAAAATACAAAAATTAGTTGGGCATGGTGGTGTGCACCTGTAATCCCAGCTACTCAGGAGGCTGAGGCAGGAGAATCACTTGAACCCAGGAGGCGGAGGTTCTGATGAGCTGAGATTGCACCACTGCACTCCAGCCTAGGCAACAGAATGATATTCCATCTCAAACAAACAACAACAACAAAAACCTGATAACCTAGTTGGAGTAGATTTGATGAAATAAAACAATGAAGTAGCTTTCCTGGTTGAATCGGCAGCAAACATTTGTTAATAACTCTCTGGATTTTACAGGATCAGGCCAAGGAGCAGATGGGATACAGATTTCTAATATGGAATGTCACCGCAAGGGTGCTGCTCCTTTTCCAGATGCTTTTCCTGGGGGCAGTTGGATTGTGAGAGCTGCACTTTGCAGGAGCCTGGTTACTGTTTCTGTGAATAAGATAAAATAGTGTTTATCCTCTGCCGATCAATACTGTCTTGTTTGAACTTATTGAGTCATTTTAGAGACACATAAGGCAATGAAAACCATTGTGCAATAGTACCCACAGTACTACTAAGCTTTCTAAGGGATGACAATATTTTAAAAGACAGTTACTGAAACAGATTTTTAACATCAACTGCCTCCATGATGAAATAAGCATGCCCCGTGTCAGGGTGTCCCATGGGTTTGGGTGGAAAGGTGTCGGGGTTTTATAACTAAGAGTTTTCTTCAGCGATAATCTCTAAAATAAAAATATACTCTGTGTGTGTGCTTTAATACTGAAAAAAATTACAGACTGACTTTCTCTGAATAAATGGAATAGTGCTACTATTTGTGATTCATCAAAATTTTTTTATGTACAGTTTATGATTTCAACTTTATTAGTATTGTTTTGACAAACAAGGCCTAATAGGTATACTTGGGCAATTTTAGAAAATTTTTCTGGAGGTTATTACAAATAGGAGGGTGAAAAGGGAAGTGGGATTTTTGCTGAATTCTTAAGCACCCAGGGCCACATTTCTCTCCTTTGCTTTATCATCTAATTTAACCTTCACAAAATACTGTGGGTCAGATGTTACCCCCATTTCACATTTGAGGAATCTGAGATTCAGAGGAGTCAAACAATATGCCCAAGGTCACAAACCTAGGGAGTTTTGCAATAGGCGTTTCCACTTAGCTGTGTCGAGGCAAAAAGCCTAGTGTTCTTTCTGTAATTAATTTTAAAAGTTTCTCAGATAGGCGTAGTCCTATTTGGTGGAAGAAGACTAGACTCTAAAGTCCTTTAGATGTTTCAATTGTGATGATTTCAACTGATTCTCATTGTTATGAATGCTGGACATGGGCTATAAAAGCAATTTGTTCTTTCTCTCCTGTATTCTGAGAAATACTAATTTTGAGAGATAGTGATAGATATTCCTGAAAGAAGATGTTCTGTTGTAAATTAAGCCCAGGAAGCAAAACATTGCCTACTCTCTTAGATAATTGTGATAAATGACAATATTTGCATGTGTCATGAGTCCCCAGTGCTTGAGGGTGTGATATAATGGTTACATGCTTGGGCTCTGGATGAGACCGCCAGACAAAGGAGCCTGGCTCTGCCACTTGCTAACTGAGTAGCTGAACCTGTTAGGTAACTTGTCTGTGCCTCCATTTTCCCATTTATAAACTGTTATAATAGCATCTACACCATAGAGTTGTTCTAAGAATAACATGAGATAATGCATGGAGAGAACTTAGAAGTAGACCCACTTGGACACAGGAAGGGGAACATCACACACCAGGTCCTATTGTGGGGAGGTGGGAGCGGGGAGGGATAGCATTAGGAGATAAACCTAATGTAAATGACGAGTTAATGGGTGCAGCACACCAACATGGCACATGTATATACATATGTAACAAACCTGCACGTTGTGCACATGTACCCTAGAACTTAAAGTATAATAATAAAACAACAAAAACAAAAACAAAAAACAAAAAACAAAAACAAAAACAAAAAACAAAAAACAAAAACAAAACAAAACAAAAAAAAGAAGTAGACCTGATAATATAGTACTTCATAGATACTTGCTATCATTATTACTTAAAACACTCATGTGGTAACAAGACCTGCTATAACTTTTCTAATATCATTTCCTCAACTTACTTGACAATGGAGTCACTTTTCTTTTGAGCCACATTCATTAACATCCACTGAATATAGTGTCGGAAATGTTGATATTTGAAATGACATTAAACCAGCTTGGTATTAGTGCAGTAGAAAATAAGAACTAAGTATTTATAGTGTTTTAATATCCATTATGTCATTTTATAATGTTTGCCCACAACAATATTTCTTTTCCTTGCCAGCTGTCTTCTTTTTTCCCTTAAAATCGATAAATAGTAAAATGGAACAGTAAAATGTTAAGAGTTGTCTAAAATGGGCAAGAGTCAATGTTATTCCAGAAAGTATGAACCTTATAAGTCATTTGTCTCTTTCTCTGTATTTAGCAGGGCAAAACCTTACTGCTTTGACAAATAGGTGATATCACTGTCATTTCCAGACCTATGCTTCCATTGCATGCTCCATAGCACACATTATAAAGAAAGTTTCAGAGCAGACCAACACATTTTTTGATGCTCCTAAATTATAACTAGAGCTGAATTTACCAAAATATGCTCTACAAAACACTAATCCTGCACAATGTGCAAATAATGCTATGTTCTTCATCGTCTTGGAGAATTACAATACATATCTGAAAATTCCTATAGTAAATAAACTCGTTTAGTTTGGAATCCATTCTTCTTGGAACTTACATAGGTAATCATGACAAAAAGTCAGAGAGTTTAGGGGGCTTCTGGTAGAAACAGGATATTTTTGGTAAATGTCCAGATTGATTTCTTTCTTTAAATACCATTATATTCTGGTTGTGAATAATGTTTTTGGAGTACAGAAAATAATGTGAAAATACATCCACCTCAGCACAGTTGCCCAAATTGTGGAAACAATATAATAATTAGCCATTCCAAGATTGAGATAAAACACACTGAAAACCAGTCATTTTCCGTAATATTTTTTGGGCCAGAATCAGAAGTGAATAGTTTAAACATTCCTTTGGTTAGCAAGATAATGGCAGGGGAAATCACAAGAGTTTACCAAGACTTTCTTTTTTATGGTGGTAGTAGCTCAGGAGATAATCGAATACACGAAGTCTAAAGTATGATAGGAATTACGACCCACACACAGAACTGAAAATCTGCCGGTGATATTAAAACTGTTTCTTTTGTTAATTACATTTCTGTTTCTCAGGGTCCTAGAATCCGGACAGGCACTCAACCACAACTCTGCCTGCTGTCTGATTAGAGCTAAATAAACTTCTCACAACATTGGCTCCACTCTTGAACCCTCCGTGGTAAGTCTACAGAAATTTATTAAATCCTGGCAGCTATCTCATTTTGAGATTATATAATAATTCCAATCTATTCTTTTGTTTTCTGCTTGTTTCATTTGTCTAAAAACAAGCTAGATAATTCCTTGAATTAGGCTCGATAATAGAAGAAGGTAAAAGCTGTTTTTACTGCATTCCCACTGATACCACAATGCACAGTTCCACAGAGTTGAAATAGAAAAAAGCGAAACACATGGATCATACCTGAGTAATTTCAGAGATCCCCACCCGGAAAAGGTTTCCTTGATTATGGCGAATTCAACGTGTTACTCGGGTTATGCTCTAATCGTCATATCAAACTCCAAAGGTTCAGTGGCTTTAGGTTTGGTTTACAATTCCTGGGAGTTAAACTTTAACTCACCCTGTCTCTTGCATCCATGCAGCCCTTTGACCAGATAATTGGGTCACTACAGCCCAGATATAATCTACTAAAACTATCTTTGCTATTTGTTTACAAAATTAAAATAAATGTTGTAAAAATATTGGGGTAAATATTATTTTGAAGATATTTTATTGACTTATACGATATATTTAAAAAGTAAAACTCACTGCAATTTGGTACCTAAGCTTTTCTTTATGTTAGTTTCTTCGTTTTTTACTATGCCAAAGTGATATTATGGCTAAGGTAATTTAGGAGAATATTTCTCTGTTTTACACTTTTTATATCACTGTATTACATGGAGTAAAGTATAGAGTTTTAGGTCAAGTACATTGATAAATGCTGGCTTATAAACAGAAAACACACAAAGCATTTATATAACAAAGTAGATAGATTTAGGCCAGATCAGGTTGGGGAAAGCATACTTTTTTGTATACAAGCTGCTCATTTAGATTTTAAGAGGGGGCCACTCTGTGAGAAGCACAATAATCAGCTACAAACTGGGGTTATATGATAGCTGATGCTATTGTTCATTGCCTGAAATCTCAGTGCTAACTGAGTTTCTTGAAAAATAGAGAAATGGTATTTACAGAAATACAAACTCTATACTCTAAGTTCTCTGGTAAGAGCTGTAGTCTATACAAGAAATCCCTAAGGGTAATAAAGCCCACTATTAAAAAAGGAAGAAGAACCAAAACCTTCCTAATTTTGAGTAAGTTTTGGTTTCAGAGTTTGGAAACCACACATTCCAAAACTAGAATTAAAGGATACCCCTACTTGCCTTTAGTTCTAGTAAGAGGAGCCTAATTTTCTAGGAACCAACTATTAGGGGAGCATTTTTGTCTATAGAAAAGCACAGAACAAACAATCCTTCTATAATATAGACGCAAAGGAAGATCCATCAATTAAGCATATCTATGAATACGTAAGAGAAGAGATGAAAGATACTGTTGAAATGCTAGTTCTGCTTACAGTTTTTAGTTCTCAAACATGAAATTATTTCAGTTCTCAAACATGAAATGATTTACCATTTTCCCATAGCTATGGATGACAGGGTTTAACAAAAACATCCCAGGAACAATTGTTTAACCCCAGAATTGCTCCCCTGATGTTAGACCTAGAGAAAGCATTTATGCCCACCCAGCTAGATAGCTGAATGAGGGACACATCCCTCTACTTCCTTCTTGGGAAGGGATTCCCTCACAAAGTAGACCTGTTGGTTTCCTAGTGAAAGCTCAGTCTGGGGTTGCATGGTTCCCAGTTGAGTGGGGAATTCTTACTTCGAGTTTGCCTGGTGCAACAAAGAATTGTTGATATTGTAAGATGGACAGTTTGGAGAGGGTTTCCTTTACTGTTTTTTGTGATAGGTGCTTAGATGGTGATAAGTGGAGATGAAGAAAGGAAAGCTAGGATTTCTAGGTATCTAAGGAGAACATCAAAACCCAAAAGGTAAAAAGAATGATATTAACTAGTGTCTCAGTTCATTCAGGTTACTATAGTAAAATATCATACAAGGCTGGGTGTGGTGGCTCACGCCTGTAATCCCAGCACTTTGGGAGGCCGAGGCGGGTGGATCATGAGGTAAGGAGATCGAGACCATCCTGGCCAAAATGGCAAAACCCTGTCTCTACTAAAATACAAACAAATTAGCTGGGCGTGGTGGTGCACACCTGTAGTCCCAGCTACTCGGGAGGCGGAGGCAGGGGAATCACTTGAACCCGGGAGGTGAAGATCGCAGTGAGCAGAGATCGCACCACTGCACTCCAGCCTGGGCGACAGAGCGAGACTCCATCTAAAAACAAAACAAAGGAAACAGAAACAAAACCATACAATGGGTAGCTTCAACAACAAACACTTGTTTCTCATAGTTCTGGAGGCTGGAAATCCAAAATCAGGCCACCAGCAGGACCCTCTTTTTGGTTATGTCCTTACCTGGCCTTTGTTGGTGCATGCATGCAGAAATAGAGATCTCATGTCTTCTCCTTTTTAAAAATAAGGGCATTAATCTTACTATGAGGGACCTAGCCTCATGACCTACTCCAATCATAATTACTTCCAAAAGGACCTATTTCCAAATACCATCACACTGGGAGTTAGGGTTTCAATATATTAACTTTAGGAGGAACACAAACATTCAGTATTGTAACCAGTTATTTAAAATATGTCAGTTTCTTATTTGATGGATCCTGGCATTCAACAGGGCAGGACTATAATCGCATTAACCCAAAATCTGATGATTTTGGTAGGACAATTCATATATTACTCCTAAGAGCCAATCGTAGTAATGAATTTGGTAGTAATGGATTATTAGGTTATTGCTTTCTGTTTTTATTGCTTCTGTTTTTTAAACCATTTTGTTACAAGGATAGGAATACATTGATCAGGAATAAAAACAAAAACAATGGATCAGCCTTTCTTCTTCTGAGGGCTACTTAGAGAGAAAGTCTGTGGCCCTGGGACAGAGAAACCAATCGATCAGAATGAGATCAAGTTTATGACCTTGATCTCATCAGTCTAATCGAGAGAGCTAACTGTACCCAGGATGGCAAGGCTTGCCTTTACATTGTAAAAATAAACCCAGTTTAGATAGTGGCTGGTAAATGTGAATTTTCTATTACTTTATTCTACAAACAATTACTGAGACACTTCTCTCTGCTAAGTGTTGCATTAGAAAGGTGATTACTTAAAATGAGATTTGAGTCTATTAGGCTATAAAATCAATAAAGTGGGTTGTATCTAACATATTAAAATAGAACAGAAAATAGCAAGTGAATTGCATCTGGAAAGGGTAATATTATTTAGAAAACTTTTTTTCTAATTATGTATCTATCTGTGTGTATTTGTTATGAAGTAAACTTTATTTTTTATTGTGGATCACAATTTTAAGTATTTGGAAAATACTGTGCTAGTCTTAAGGGATTCAGTGGTTAACAGACCAGATATAAGGTACACACACTAAGCAAATACCCCAATGATTAACTAATTATAGTTGTAATAAGTGTTATGAAGGAGAAGTACAGAATACTAAACAGAACACAAAACATAGGGACCTAACCTCATGTAGGGCTGGGTGGGTTGGGAGGTACTTGAGGGAAGCCTTCCAGAACACAGGACATTTAAGCTGAGACCTGAAGGATGTGTGGATGGGAAGTGGGCATTCTAGTGAGTGGATATAGCTCACACGGATGCCCTGAGTTCGCATGAGTTTGGCGTATTCAAGCAACTGATAGAAGGTCGGTTGTGAAGGGCAAGAGGGAAAGTGATGGGGACAGTGACTGGAGTAGGTAGCTAAGTCAGACGATTCACAAAAGGCCATCATGAGATTCCCAGCATTATCCTGGGCCAATGGGAAGTCACTGAGGCATCTGAAGAAGGGGAGCCACATGGATGAACTATTTGTATAGATTCTGGCTGTAGAGTGGAGAATAAATTGCCATGGGATAACATTGCCTGCCTCTCTCCTTTTTTTTTTTTCTTGGTTATTTTAGAATAATTTTACTCATGTACATATTCAAGTAAATTGGTGATTTGAACTTGAAGGAGGCAAAGCATCTAAAAGAGACCAGTAAGAGGGGAGGTGGTAGGTGATGGTAGTTAAGATTAGGGTGGTGGCTCTGGGAAGAGAGGAAAGTAGACATGGTCCATGAAATGTGTAGGAGGTAAATCATCAGGAGGATGTGGGAACTGAGGGGGGCATGACATCTAAAGGAGAAGTCTCAAATTACTGGATGTGGCCATTGGCTGGATGGTGATACTATTTGCTGAAATGAAAATGCTCAAAAAGGAAGATACTTACAAAAATAGGCTATACCAGGTCCTTAGTAAGTACTCATTCGGTGGTTGCAATGATCAATCATTCATACATGAAATATTTGGCTTATGGATTTCAACAAATCTTGCTTTCAGTATCAGACTACATTTAGGTAAAACTAATTAATTTTTGCTGGCGAAGGTAAAATGTAAAGCTTTTAAAAAAACTATAATATAACTAAAAGTTAAAGATTACCAAGAATAAGAAGCTTCCTTCCCTGCCACCATCCTCCCTGCCCTGGCTCAATAAAAATATCTCTTCTGGGTGGATCACGAGGTCAGGAGTTCGAAACCAGCCTGGCCAAGATAGTGAATGCTGTCTCTACTAAAAATGCAAAAATTAGCCAGGCATGGTGGCTGGTGCCTGTAATCCCAGCTACTTGAGAGGTTGAGGCAGGAGAATCGCTTGAATCTAGGAGGTGGAGGTTGCAGTGAGCCGAGATCACGCCACTATACCCTAGCCTGGACAACAGAACAAGACTCCATCTCAAAAAAAAAAAAAAAAAAAAAAAACAAACACAAAACTTCATTGATTTCAATCTCCTCGGAATTCAACATTCCATTTTTGAGTGTTTAGTGGGTGGCTGGGGGTATTGAATTCACTGGAAGGGAGCATTTCAAAGAATTGAGGGGGCCACATTAGACACACTGAGTAGTGCAAAAGCCTCATTCTCTTTCCTTGCCTATTGACTAGAAAGTACTCTGATCTAGGAGTCAGGACCTTAGCATTTCAATCCCAAGACACTATGACTTATGAACTACTTAATCTTGAGCAAGTTTCTGCCCCTTTTCTGAGTCTGAGTCCTTGCCTTTCATGGGGAAAATAACTACATCCCTAATCTACCTCACTGATTGTTGAGAGGGCCAAGGGAATTGATATATGTAAAAATGACTTGAAAATAATAGAGTACCATGTATTTACAGAGTGTGATGATTACAGAGTAGACTAGATCTGTAGCCTTTGAGGTGATGTCAGTGCAACTTCTTGTTTTGATCTGTGAAGTAAGAACTTCTAGGATTTATGCCTGTTCCTTTGGAGATTCATAACATTTCAAACCTAAATGCTCAATGCTATTCTTAATGCTTGGAAGACTTTAGAAGACAGCAGAA